AAACATTGTATCTACATGTTAAGATTTTATTCTCCGAGCAAAACAATTGTAAAGTACTTTAAAATTTTACCATCCATTAAAATATCCGTGCAAAATGATTGTAATGGCTGTTGCCATTTTTTTGCACCAAGAATGAGATTTTTTAGAATTGTAAAGCACTTTACAATTCAAAGGGGCATTATAAATGAAATTGTATGCACCCTTACTGCTTTCTTACCCGGATTTTTTTTTTAAAAATTGTTAGTTACAATTAAAAAAATAATAAAAGCTGGGTTTTCCCGCAAAAAATTGATGATTTGGCATTTATTTTTAGGAAGAGTAGTAGCAGTAGGTTAAAAAAATGCGAAAAAGCGAAAATCGTGAATTTGTCACTTACAATGTTTTCTTTTGGAGGCGTCGATATATGAAGAGTATATAATGAGAAACGTTTTACAAAATCGGCGAGGGGGACAAACGACAACTGGTAACCGAAGAAAAATAGATGCTTTTAAAATGTGGGCCTACACAAGAATGCTTCGAATTTCGTACACAGCGTAATAATGTAATTTATTGTAATTATTTTGTAATTAACATAGGTTTAGGAACTTAACAAAACGATCTTCTTTGAGGTTAAGTTCAACACTGTTTCTTTATTTCAATTTCATCTTTATGACGTATGTCGTCATTCTTAACAATGTCACGTGGGTTGTAAAAAAAAATAATATTCCTTTAGCCGTCTGCGTTTTCTTTATGAAGCACCGGCGGAGTAGGGGAGGGGAAATTTATTAAAACAGTTTTATATAAAATTAAACATGAGGCACGATACAACTCAAATAGGAATCAAATTTATAAAAAATATCTACTGCACTGTCTTTCCAGACGAAACTGATTCGCAAACGGCGGCCACTACAAAGAAATATGCCGCCAAAGAAGCCGCCTCTTCAAAGAAATACGCCGCTAAAAATTCTAACCAATAGGATATTCCTGGAGTCAACGTTGACTGTATAAAACAACCAATAAGATGCGTCGTTCGCAAGTGGATTCGCATCCAATGTATACGGGCTCGCTCAATATATTTTTCCTAATAATAGTATAATAATTTTAACGGGCAATACGATAATTTGAGGAGTCCCCAATTTTTGCCTTGTCTCATTTGAGAAACGATAGACTATACCAACGTATCAATTCTTACACAGCTGAAAGTCACTGCAAAACTTTCAACCAAAATAAACCAGTCATACCTGAGGTATGTACCTACTTTCGAAACATTTCAAGAAGAGCAGGCGCATTGGAAAAACTTATCGTCGAAAAAAAAATCAATGGTAAACGACCAAGTGGAAGGTCTCCGACGCGCTGGGTGGATCAAAGAAATTATTGGCCATGGTCTGCAAGAAGCTTCTCTAGCAGCTCAGGATAGAGAAAGATGGAGAACCACAATCCGAGCAATGGCGACATGATGTCACCATACTCTCTCGAGAGTCAACCCCAACCGACAGAAAGAAGAAGATCGTGCTCCAAATAGTTGAGGAGTCGGAGCTTCTACGACTCAGATCAGAAACCATGCGTCCTTTCTGATCCCCAAAAGCCTCCCACCCAGTCTGAGGCCTATCGGAAAAAATCTGTGGGTGAAACAGATCACTTCTTATGTCCTGTAAAGTGTCTAGTATATTTGTTGACCACAGATTTCTGAAATGAACATTTCCAGGTTGTATAATTTATTATAAAGTTTGCAGCGTTAAAAATTTTCGAGAATTCACAATAAAGTGATTCAGCTAAATACAAAGCAGATGATTTGACGAAACAGTTCTTTGACGATACAGTTTTTCTTTTCTTCTAAATTTTGTTAGGTGTTTTCTTTCCTATCTATAGCGAATCTTAAAGTTTTTTTTTATAGGTAATAATTCACCTGCATCTATTCAAATAACCATTGAATACGTAGTATTATTTCGAAAATGACTTTTATGCTGAAATTTATTTTACAACATCTTCTTTCAACAATAAAAAAGTTTTTCCGATTCCCTATCTCGTAAAGAATGCCCATATTCCTTGAAATATACCCTACTTTACTAGGATAGAAATATCCGTCGTTATGATTTTTACCGCCAACAACAGAAATCCGAATGGACAATTTTTATATCGTTCAAAAGCTTTCTAAACAAAGCCTCTTTGATAACGGTTCTATTTCTCCTGTACATTCCCCTTATCTTTTCTTCTTTTATTTCTCTAAATCGACCAGGGACCTTTCGGATATTTGTTTCTCGTGATTTATCAGGCAGTCTGGAGGAAGATCAAAAGCGTAGGATTATCTTTTGGAAAGGAAAATCTTCTAGAATAGAATATTCAAGTTTTCAAATATTTATCTATCGATTTTATTTAAGTCAAATATTTATAAGGTTGCAAACGCCACTGATATATTTAATATATTATTTTAATTACGCAACTGCTTATGCGCACCAACCAACCCTAAATTTAATTTGATTTAACTTCTGTCCCGTATTATTTCTGCGCCGGGGAAGCTGTGGATTTTATCGGGACATGTCCCTGGTTCCTTGGAGATGACACACAAGAAGCGTCTTCTTATTCCCATAGGACGTGTCTAGTTATGCTGGACCGTTTATGAGAGGCGTGACGTGCATTAGAAACATAAAGTTATTGCGCATTACCCGTTTATGAGGGCTGACTTTTTGGTTACAGGAGGCCCATATAAAAATATCGTTTTTGGGTGGAATAAAAATGATTATTTCAGAAGTTGTCAATTTAGGCTCAAGACATGTTTTCCAAAGACGGCTTGTAAGCAAATATTTCTCTAATGCTATTTTCGTACCAACGTACGTTTTGAATCTATAAACACAAACGTCAGTTGTCAGTTTTCTTATTCTATTCATCCTTATTTTTGAAGAGGCCATGTAGACGTGGACGCCAATGTTTATTATACTTAGGTAGGTACCTATTTTATAATAAATGAAACAATATGAAAATAATATACCATTAATGTGAGGCGATGAGAGAGTTTTCTGATTACAATCTTTTAACACGGTTTGAATCAGAATCAAGCGCGACGTCGTCAATCAGTAAATCCTAGCCACGTGACTTTGCCAAACAGACGCTATATTGGAATTTTTTAAAAGGTCTTTACATGTCATCGTTCGTTATTTTTCCCAAGGACACGAATCACCATTTAAAAAAATATATATATTAATTTCGATGAATCAACAAAATGAATTCATAATTATAGCAATCGCCTATACACTGTCTGGTTACTTGCAATTATTTATTACAAGTGAATTCCAAGGTTTAGATGGTCATTTCATAAGATTCCACACATAAATATGCTGAATCGTGAATTAGTTTCTTAGTAAACCAACCAGTAATGATATCTGTTACTCACGAGGATAAATGTTTTAGATACGAGCCAATGGAATAATAGCGGTGGCTGTAACCGAAAATTATTATCCTTGGGCGCAAATCTGGTAGAGCTATTCTTTGGACTCGAACTTTTATAGAATCTTACTCCAATTATTGTTTTTTTGCATGAACTTCATATTGTGGTATCTACATGTAACTAAGATAATTTCTAAAACAGATCTTATGTCATGAGATTACTTGCCAAGCTCTATGGCATGGATATCGATATCGATTTTGGGAAGTATATTATTGATATCCATGCAGAATTTAAGCATAAAAACAATTGACTGTCGGTTCTGGTTTTACCGGCAGTGCGATCAATCTCTTCATTTGAAATGCATCACCCGCTATATTACTAGAGGACTAAAGAGTCTTACAACAAAAATTCCACTTCCCGTTCAATCGAAAACTTCCGGTAGAGCCAGGCATTTGAATTTTCTGAAATTTTTGTTCAAAATTTGTTCTGTATAAGGTATTTTTTGCGTGCTTTTTGAAATGTACCAAGAGACCCGGATAACAGAAGAAACTAACCTATTGGAAAATTTCTTATGTATACTTATTATATTATAGAGATGCTACTGTATTGGTCATTAGGGTTTGGTTGATAGAACTGCACTAAGGACTTTTTTTTTCAACCATAAAATAAAAAAAATAAAATTGTAGGGATGCGAGAATGACAAGTTCCTCATCAATGGCACTATAATTCTGATTCCTGGCACCTGTTAATGAGAAAACTGGAATTTAAAGTTTGCCAAATTTTCTCCCCCGATTGTGCTGCATACATACGTATAGTTCCCAAACTGCAAAAGGCATTGAATTCTGTTTCAAATTGAATTCTCGAGAACCAGGATAATTTTACTGAATTATCTTCAAATTGAAGAGGTATCTTTTCCAGTGGAATGGGAAATTTATCTTAAAAACTATAAAAGTAATGTTAATTTTTAAAACCAAAAAAAAATTGAAAAATCAATAAAATTCCTCTCATTTAATTAATTTCGTGTTTTAGAATTAAATTTGAAACAGAATTCTCAACAAATTGGGAAATATAAGAAGGAATGAACCAATTTTACCTGTTGACTCGCTTCCTACTCTAGGTACTCAGCAGTTACTCTACTTTGGAATAAGGCAGCAGTCTAAATTTAACTTTTTCAGATTTTAGTTATGCAACGCAGCTAATGTGTCATTCGTCATTCGTTTTATAAAAGTTCATGACTGGTAATTTGACGACAAGAATATACAGAATTATATAAAGTTTGTATTTTGCAAACTTAAAGGGGACAGTTTGCTATAAATAACTGTAGATTTATGTATTCAAGTAGTTTCGCAACATATCTAATAAATTTCCTTTGCTAAACAACTTCTGATGACTATCCTGCTTAACAATACCTACCTATACACAATTCAAGGGATTTGAGTTTTTTTTGTATACCTAGTATATACGAACGAGGTGACATGTTGAAAATATCCGACGGATAGAAAAATCTGAATAACTGGACTATCAAAGATATACTGACCTACCAGAAGCTTTATTACACCTACCTACTTGAAATACTAACAAAAAAAACTAGTATTTTTCTAATTTTCCAAAATTAAAAGGGAATAAAGAAAGTTTTTACCTTGCGGCGCTGGTGGCTGTATTCCCTCATTTTCTGGCTCAATATCAGGAGGATAGACTTCCCTCACCATACGAATCGATCTCTTCACTACGCCTGAAACCAAAATACTTAATTATAAATTTAATTATTAGCATCAAATTGATAATGATTACGCGGTACACCAGCGTATCTCCGGACGTGATCAGTTTTAGCTTGATAAACTTTTAAGTTGGGGAAACTAGGGGCTAAGAAATTGAAAGCAATTAGTTCATGTTATCGCCAAACAGTAAGTAAGATTTGTGATCAATTTACGTTTTTAGCAGTTTTCGTAAAAAAAAAAAATTATTGATTAAAAAAATATATATTCCGGACTGTACCTATGTCAGGTGTCTTTACTTATGTTCCTAAATTTTATCCACCTTATCTTTTGCAGTAAATGACAATAAACTCTGGTGAATTTTTTCTAATTGTTCTGAAATGTGGGTCAGTGTGACTTAGTTTTGGTTACCATAAAAAGGTAAGTTATTGCAGTTTAACCTAAATTCAGTTTAAAAAGAAATGGGTAAAGTTACAGAAATTGACTATTCAACGCGTTTTCAGTGAAATCATGGTTGATAGGTCTCTTGCGATGTTGTCAAACTTTACTCTAACCGAATATTAATGTTGTGTTCAAACGAATTACAGCCACTAGCTAAGTCCAACAGCCCCAAGACCTTCTTTCAAGCTACTAAGATGATATACGGATCAACCACTCAAGGACTGAATCCCTTACGACCCAAATATGGCTTAAAGAGAGTTACAGAAACCAATACAACAAGAACTGAGCTATAGGTTCCCAAATTAGAGGAGGTTGAAAAGGCACTCAAACAAGTAAAAAACAATAAGTCAGCTGTTACTTAAGGCATTTCTGCTGAATTCTTTAAACAAGGAGATCCCACGCAAGTGCTCGAGCCCACATCCTACTAAGTTAAATATGGATTACCTACTGAGACCATACCTGCCGAACTTAGAGATGCCTCCATAGTTGCCATTTTTGGAAAGGGAGATAAGGCTCAATGTAGAAACTATAGGAGAATATCTTTACTTTCTGTTGCGGGAAAGATACTTGCCAATATATTATCAAGTCGTCTAATCCCAACTGAATAGAACAGAACCTCCCAGAGATACAGTGTGGCTTTAGACCCAACCGAGGTACAGCTGACATGATTTTCAGTGCAAGGGAAATCCAGAAAGCAAAATCGCTGTCTATACATGGCCTTCATAGATTTAGTGAGAGCATTTGATTCTATCAACAGAGAAGCTGTTTGAAATATGGATGCAACCGTCCTAAACAACGATCAACAAGGAGATTCTTTTCAAATAACTACAGGCCTTAAACAGGGCTGTGTGATTGCATCCACTTTATTTTCTCGGCGATATCGATAATTGAACATCAATCAACATGCGTATGATAACGTCGTGATGGCCAGTACAGAGGAAGATCTTCAGGCAATTATTAATGAATTCAACCATTTCAAACAGGCATACAGGAGAATCGGCCTAGAGGTCAACTTTAAAAAGACGCAGATTCTGCACTAGTCCGCATCGGATATTAATTCCCAAGCCCCAAATATAACTATAAATTACTATTCTTTGCAGAACGTAGAACACCCATACCTTGGGCCAGAGACTCTGTCAGCGAATGCAACCATTGACGCTGAAATCAAACATCCTTCTTGAAGAGTGCTAGCGCCGCGTTCGGGCGTCTTCCCGAGAGAGTCTTCAACAATCACGACATCGCGTCTAGAATGCAGTTGTAATACCAACACTTACATATGGCTGAAACATGGACCACCTACCTAGCAAGAATATGGTAGAGTGCCGCATCGATACCAGTAACTGGGAGATGACGACCAATGATAGACCCTCATGGCGTTGACGACGGACCATTAACTTTTGAAAAACGGCGTCGCAGACACGAGACTGAAAAGAGAGACTGCAGGAAGGAGAGAGAGAGAACAGAAAAAGAGACACTGCTGTCAGAGGCTAGGTATGTCAAGAGTGTGCGGCTCCAGAATTGGTTCATATAGCCATCAGAAATCGCACAATCGACGACAATAAGAATAGAATAGAGGATAATCATAATCGGTATCGAGTGATCGCCGATGATGGACACGATTTGAATGTTTGGAAAAAGGCATTTTTGTTAGCCCGGTTCCAATTTTCAAGTTTGTTTCCCCCTTTTTTTATAGAATGTTCAGTAAAAAAACAAAATGAAAAATTAAAATGTTGTTTTTGTCAGTTTTTGATAAGTATTTTTTTATGTATGTATTATTTTATATTCCGTCCCAGCCCATTTCGCTCCAAGGGTGTTGAAAGCTTTATGAGTTATGATATAAGTTAACGTTGAAACGATATTCACCTACGTATTTTGTAATTTTATTTGTATTGAAAGCAGTAGGTAGGAAACAAAATATTAATGTTTTTTTTTTAACAAGTATAATACAAACAACCGAACACAGCACTGTCATCAACAACTATCATCGAACTAAATAAACTGCTCCACAGGAGTTAAGGATATGGATGTTTTTTGTGAAAAAACATATATTACGTTACATTATTGCCAAATACCGGAGCTAATTTTTTTTTTTTTAATTTTTCCTTTTTTTTACGTTTTTCAAAAAAAGTGGTAATTTATTTCAATAAAGTTCATATTAACATAAAAACTATATACTTTGTTCTTTTTTTTACAAAGAAAGTTTCATATGCTTGACTCCTGTGGAGAAGTTTATGAATATTTAAGTTATCCCTATAAATGGTTTATTCAATTTACCATGGATTATAAACGATGTTTTGAAATTTACTCCTATGCTTCAGGGATTTGATAGATTTAGGAGTCTATAACAAATCGAAAATGTTTTTTTTTGTTCTCCATCAATCTACTCATCGTGATATTTGCGGATGATTAACTTGAAAAAGCAAAAAAGTACCTTAAAATAGCCGGAGAATCCCAAATCTCTTCTCCATTTTCAGTTTTTAATTTTTCTTATACCCATCCAAATTTCAAATCTCGAAGCCGCGTGCCTCAATTTAGGGCCGAATCTCTATGTGCATATCGCGAAACCTTGAAATCTAACTCATTTACATGAATAATAACTTTTCAGTGGTGATGAGGCAACAAGCCAATTAATTATTAAACAACCTGATCTCCGGGTAAATTATGTAATGGCACCATGCAGGTAACCAAAAAGTAATCGACAAAGTGTAGTGAAAGCGCATCAATAAGTTTCTGACTTGTATTGATTGGGTTCGTGACGTAATATTGCGACCAAATTGGTTAGAATATTTTTGGTGTCAGTGGGTGCAATTTTGCCTCTTGGCATAATGCAATATAATACAAGACATATTTTATCACTACTACGACTGCAATGATTCTTCTGTGATCTTTCAATTTGTCTGGGAGCGCTTATGCCTTTGAAACTTATGCATCAATTTGATTCGACATTTGGTGGAACGTTGCGACGAAGTGACGCTAAGCAAATCAAAAAATTCCTATAAAGAACGGATTTTGGAGCATTAAAGAACTCACGACAAAGGAAGAAAATTTCAAAGCACGTTGTGCGTCGCATGCATGGGACAGCCAACCGGAATACTATGGACTTAAAATAATACCCATCAAAGAACAACCTTGGTTCAAAAGAAAGCTACATATAGGTATACAAGAAAACGTTTAGAAAATCATCCATGGAAATAGGAAAAATATGGAAACCTATTTCAAAAGCTTTCGGTCCCCTAAGGCTTTAACTTTAGCGCGGAATTGGGTTTTGCCACGCCTCGGGAAGATTGAAGTATTTTTGCCTGATGTTTATACCTCCTGAACCAAAGTTCGAAAGCTTAGAGCTTAGCTTAACGGATAAATAAGGCAGGATTTTTTAAGTGATTATTACTTGGGAGATGAAAAGACAGGACTAAGTACTAGACACATAGGCTTCAATGGGACCAGTTGGCTGATACCCAGGTCACTACAGGATCGTCTCTGCAAGTTATCATTCGTGCATCTTCGGCAGCTCGGCTATATTCGGCTTCGGCAGCACCGCCTCGATTCGCCTAAACCGAGTACAGTCTAATTCGTCTCATTACTCCCTATGTGTCTAGTAGGTTGGTCCGGTCTTTATGTCGATCAACATTAAATAGGTTTGTTATCGAACCGCAAGCCCTGGCTTTTTTTCTTGTTCACTTGTGTTAGTGTTTTATTATTAGGAACAATGATGACATCCTTGCGAGCCGCTTCTTGAGCGCCAAATTCAAATATTTGAAGTTTGTTATTCTAAGGGCGAACTTGTTTAAAATATCGACCAGAGATTCTAGATCCTTGTAAAATTTTATACAGCTGCAGGCAGGATATAAAGGAGAGATAAATCTGGATGTCATCCTCCTAATATAAGAAAGGAAGGTAATTTTCCTGCACTTTAGAAAATTGGGACGTATATAGTATGTAAAAGTGGGCCAAAAACTAAGCCTTGAGGTAGGTAATCCATTTATTTACTTGTTCGAAATATGACATAGGGTGTTTTAGTATTACTACTTGCATCCTGCGTAGGTACGATGATAAACGGCGAACTGCTGGAAAATTTTCCAAATTTAGAAAGTGAAACAAGATTTTTGTTATTAGGTCAAGCAACACCAATAAACTTAGTTGATTAGAGTCGACAACTATGATAATATCATCACTGATCCTAGTTGGAGTAGGAATCCAGCTTTGATTGTTGAGTTTTACAAAAGTTCCGAGCATCAAAAATAAATCTTACCAGTCCCTCCAACATTTTGTTCATTATCTTAGAGAGCGCACATAATGGGCTAACGGGCCTTACGTCCGTAGTTTTTTTTTCAGAGATCTGAGGGTAGGAAATGGTACAGCATGCTTTCGATCCTGAAGTTCAGAATATTTGTGATGACCGGTAGCACTATAGAATAGCAAAAAAGGAGAATATGAACCTTTCTCTTTACAGGCTTGTTTAAAATTCGCAAAATTGTACCTATTTCTGGTTTGACTCAATTTTTTTAAATGGAGCGTGAGGGGCTCATAAGAGTCGTTAGCATTATGGGACGAAGTATTTTCAGAGAAAAGTATTTCT